GAGGCTCCTGCCTTCTCCCTACTCCGTCCCCACCTCCTGATGCAGGTACCCTGATGCCCAAGTCAACGAGCAAACTTTACAAGCTAAAAAAATTCAACATCCATTTCCAGTGTATGAAAACACTTTCATTTAACAGAACTTTTTGGACTTATAACCAAGGCTAAATGATGATAAGCAGAGAGTGGTGGCGCACATCTGCAATCCCAGCACTCCAGAGGCTAAGGTTGGGGGATACCATGAGTTCAAGGCCAGCCTGAACTACATAGCAAGACCTAGTCTCAAAAACAAAAACAAAAAAAGACACGGAAGACTTCAGAAATAGTATATTGACCTAATAAAAATAGATTACAATTTCTGATAATAAACTGGGTGTGATGGCACACACCTACAATCCCAGCTGCCATGGAGACTGAGGGAGGAAGACTGGGAGTTCAAGGCCAGTGTGGGCAACACAGCAAGAACCCATCTCAAACCAACAAAGAAGAATTCTCTGGCAATGTGAAAGAACGCTATGAACCAATGGTCACATAACAAAGAAACTGGGATTTTTCTGAAAGTAGTTTGAAAATATTTTCCTCAATGAGAAAAAAGTTCTATTCTACTTGGGGAAAACTAACAAAATCAGCAAGACATTCACAAGTAAAAACAATATTTAAGGCCAAGGATGTAGTTTATTAGTAGAGCATCTGCCTAGCATTGTCCAGTGCCCTGAGTTTGGTCCCACACACAGCAAAAAGTAAAATGAAAGTAAAGATGCATACAATTTCAATTACAGTAATAAGGTCTAAGTAACCCAACACTAAACTGAAGAAAAAGAAGACAAAGAAAGGACATGTGGTATCTGTAGATCATAAGCGACTGTAAGGCAGCAACTAGTGACTGCCCCTCAACATAAAACTACTTATCCCAAGACAAGCTAAACTAAGAATAACGGGAGAGACGTCAGACAATCAACCGCAAATCAGCTTCTCGGACGTCTCAAACACAAGGCAGATTAAAGGCAACATGGGCAGATTCTGTATTTAAAAACACATCAAACTCATACGGAAATAAACACTGAACAGAATCCAGGTGCCATGAGAAAGACAAAGGACAGAGAAAACTAAAAGCAGAAGACTTACTTTTTTCTGTTACTCTAGTCCTAAAAACTTCAAAATTCCTAGGTTATCACAACACAGTGGTCACATTAATACATTAATTTTTATGGCCACTTCCCCATGTCTCTCTCTCTCTCGCTCGCTCTCTCACACACATACACACACATATAAATTTTTTAACTAATTTATATACCACCTCCCTTCCAGCACTGGGCATTGAACCCAAGGCCTCCACACTGAGCTGTATCACCAGCCATATTATTTTTTCTTTTGAGACAGTGTCTAAATCACTAAGTTAACTATGCTGGGCTAAAATTTGCTGTCCTTGTGCCTCATAATAGGATTACAGGTATGCACCAGCATACCTGATTAGACCTCATTATAGAAAAGGAATGTTCCAGTGGAGTGTAAGGTAGCAGTTAAGAACTCTACTGCTGGAGTGAGACAAGGATGAGTTCAGACACTCACACTATCACTTGCTGAGTATATGGTCCTGGGTAAATATTTAATTTCTCCGAGATTTAAGTCTTCCTACCAGTAAAAGGGTATCTCAAGTCCTCTGAGCCAGGCATGGTGGCACACACCTGTAATGCCAGCATTCTGGCAGGCTGAGGTAGAAGGTAATTGTTGGGATTTTTAAAAAGCACATCTATTAATACTCAAGATACAAATTCTACTAAAAGGGAAACTTGCCTTCTCTTAAACCTACAAATAGTCAGGTGTGGTGGTGCACAGCTGTAACCCCAGCACTCAGGAGGCTGAGGGAGGAGGATTGCTGTGGAGTTCAAGGCCAGCCTGGGCTACAAAGTGAATTCAAGACCAGCCTGAACTGCATAGTGAGACCCTGTCACAAAAAAGACAAAAAAAAAAAAAAAGTCTACAAATCTTGTTTTTGAGACAGTGCCTTGCCATGCAGTTCAGGCTTGTTTTGAACTTACTATGTAGCCCACGCTGGCGTCAACCTCCCAAGGGCTGGAATTACAGGTGTGAGCCACCGCACAGGGCTTGAAACTACAAAGCTTCAATTGGCTGGCTTTTTAAATGAAAAAACACTGATCTGCTCTGACATTTGCTAGAAAATGCAAATTCTAGCCAAGTACAGCTGTGAGTTGGGCATGATACAGCATGCCTGTAATCCCAGCACTCAGAAGGCTGAGGCAGGAAGAGGCCACCCTGGATTACAGTGAGTTCAAAGCCAGCCTGAACTACACAGTGAGATCTGAGATCCTGTCTCAAACAAGGTGTAATTACGGTTAAGCAAGTATTTTTATAAAACTCTACAAACATCTAAAAAGTGCAATAAAATATAATTAATAAACAATCATGCCGGGCGTGGTGGCGTACATCTGTGATCCCAGCACTTGGGAGGCTGAGGCAGAAGGATCATTGTGAGTTGAGACCAGCCTGGAATACAAAGTAAGTTCATGGCCAGCCTGAACTGCATAGCAAGACCCTGTCTCAAAAAGACCAAAAAAACAAAAACAAAAACAAAAACCCAAAAAACAAAAAACAATCAGTTAACCCTATGAGCCACAGCAAACGGTTCAGTACTACGAAGGTGCAGATCTTCTCCTGGAACAGAAACAGTACACCTAACAGCATATGTGCACGTGAGGTGCACAGGCTTCAACAACTGGAGCAAAAATACACACAGACCCATGGAAAAGCACAATGTGAAGAATATTTATGATATGAAAGGCCAAAAAAAAAGCCATCAATTTTTTAAAGTTTTTTTAATGTTAGGAGGCCAGCCTGGGGTACACAGTGAGTTCAAGTCAAGCCCAAATACTCCATGCTATCCTTCTACATGAAGGGCCAGTAAACTTTTTCTGTACAGGAAAGGTCAGATAGTAAGTATTCAAGGTTTTGCTGGCCTTATGTCACAGCGATTCAACTCTTCCACCATTGAACTGCAAAAGCAGTCCATCTGTAAACAAGTATCTGTACTTCAGTGTAACTACTTACAAAAGGCAGTAGGCCTTTTGTTCTAAGTGATCTGCAGGATTCAGATAAAATGGGGATTAAAGGATAATTTTTTTTAAATACTTCAACTTATAAAATATAAACTTGTATATTTTCAGTTTTTTGGGGGGGATGGTTTTTGAGACAGGGTCTCACTATGTAGTCCAGGCTGGCCTTGAACTCAGTGATCCTCTTGCCTCAGCCTCCTGAATGCTAGGTTCACAGGCATATGACATCACACTGGGCTTGCTTTCACTTTTTTTTTTTTTGAGACAGGGACTCTCTTTGTAACTCAGGCTCTATGTAGCCCAGGCTGGTCTCAAACTCATGCAGTCCTCCTGCCTCAGCCTCCTGAGTGCTGGGATTACGGGCATGTGCCATGACATCTGGCTTGTTTTGATTTTTTGAGACAAGGTCTTGCTTTGTAGTTCAGGCTGGCCTCAAACTCACTATGTAGCCCAGGCTGACCTCAAACTCATATCCTGTCTCAGCCTCCTGAGTGCTCGGATTACGGGCATGTGCCATGACATCTGGCTTGTTTTGATTTTTTGAGACAGGGTCTTGCTTTGTAGTTCAGGCTGGCCTCAAACTCACTATGTAGCCCAGGCTGACCTCAAACTCACATCCTGTCTCAGCCTCCCCAGTGCTCGGATTGTAGGTGTGTGCCACAATGTCGGACAGGATAAATATTTTATTACTAAATTTACTGAGACATCATGAGGTTAATACAAATTACTCTGGCTTCTAAAAAAATTTTTTTTTTCTGAGACAGGGTTTCTCTATATAGTTGAGGCTCTTCCTAAACTATGTAGCTCAGGCTGGCCTCAAACTAACTGTGACCCTCCTGCCTCAACCTCCTGAGTGCTGGGATTACAGGAGTGCATTACCATGCCCAGTTTTGGCCACTACAATTGCAAGAGGAGTTCAAAGTGGTGGTCTTCAGGTTCCCAACATTTATTAGTACAGTGAACAGCTGCTTGGGGTAACCCTGGTCACTGAGATTGCTGCACATGCATTTTCTTCTCTAAGAGCCAGTAGCGCAGTAGGTTTTCTGGGATACGTGACATTCTCCAGGGTCTCACCAAAGGAGGGTAACACCAACTGCTGAAAAATCATGTTTTTTTTTTCTTTGATGGACTCTGTATATAGACTTTTTAAGAAAAATAAGAGCAGATTTCAGAATACAAAATTTCAAGAAAAATACACTACAATCATGAAAAAGGTTTCATTTCCCTACTGAAAAGTACTATGCTAAAAAATAAAAGTAGAAAATACAAGTTGGTTTTAAAGTAATGACTTTATTAATAAATATACATCCATATGATGATGTAAATACAAATCATGAACACTACTCCATTCCCACACATAATTGCACATGAGTAGCTCGAGTTCATGGACATAGAAACATACACAGTATCTATTCAGACTTTTTACAGCAGAGGACAGCGTGCTTATCGTCAGTAATTGATAATTGTTTTCTCCATAATTATCTGCAGAAAAAGAAACTGATAACTTGAAGAATCAAAGAATCTGACTCCTTTAAATAACACTTGATTTACTAGAGTATTTAATTTTCAAAAAATTAAATTTTCAAAAAATTAAATACATTACATGTGAGAGCACAGATGTGTCTACTTAGGAGGATGTGGGCAAAGCAAAGGAAAGATTTAGATACATTCCAGAGTTTAGGAGCAAATAGATATGCTATAATAAAACAAAAACAAAATGGATGGCATCAAAATTTTATGTCCAAGGGGAGAAAAATATTTGCAACAACTGTTGTGAATTCTTAAACTTTACTATAAAGAGATAATAAAATTGTACTGCATATAGACAACGACTGACAGAGTAACAGTTACAATACCCCTGAACTGTTTTTAAAGCATCTTAGAAGATAAAGACGTTTATTCATTTATTTTAGCTCATACACGGTAGTTATTCTTACACTGGACGAATCACCTTTAACTTAAGAAATGGATCCAGATTTTTTTTCCTCCTTAATGCAAAGAAACTCTATTTTTATTTCATGAAAATATATATGTAAATTCACACAAACATTGGTTTGGAATGAATAATACCTTGACAAGGTTTCTTCAAAAAGTAAATAAAAAATAGGATTTTTAGTCTAATTAAAACACATTTAAAAAAAGTCCTCAAATATTAAAAATTAATGATACTAATTTTCTTGTAATACATTGTGCCAGTATATTTTTAATACCCAGTGCAAAACTCCAAAGATAGTATCAAAATCATCCCCTACTAAAGATTAGTTATGCAAGGTTATATCTGTCAAAAAATGAAAATTTCATGTGTATTACCCTATTAATATGGTAACAATAAATAAGGCATGTTAAAATACTTCTTAAAGAAAGAATAAAGCAAACTTACTTGAATAGCAGATCATTTTCTGACCCAACAGTTTTATATAGAATAGTGAAACCTATTTTGTGAAGAACAGAATTACACAGTATAAAATTAGCAATTTACCTTTTAAGGAACAATCATACAGTGCAGGGAAAAGGCCAGTTTTCCCCAACTGATTATATTAAAGTATAGGCAACTGTTCAACATGCTATTTCAGTGTTTATCATGACAAGAGACAGTGTTACAAAAGATGCACAATAGAGTCTTCAGATTATATAGAAGTAAAAATATTTTGCATTTTAAGACTTCATTCATATTATCACTTATATATCTTTCTCTTCAGCATGGCACCAGTAAACTGTTCACACGGAGAAAAGTTAAGTGGAATCAGGAGATGTTCACCAGTGTATAAATCTAATATTCCAGGTGCTCATATGAACAGTAAACTCAGCTGTCTAAATGACGTTACCCATCCACAACGGTAGCCATCTGTCCCCCTTGTCTCCTGGGACATAGCTCCTGATAATAAACACTGTGATGAACATATCTCCCTTAGTTCACTATTTCATAAACATGTATACAAAATTTATTATACAATAATACACCTGCTTTATCTTCCGACACACAGCACAGCACCATTGAGTAGATGTGCTGGGGGGCTGGGGGAGAGGAGAAGGGAATGAATGTAGCAAAGGGCAGGGGAGAAATAAGAAGGGTATGTTTAACAAAATCACAAATGAAAGGGCAATGTCAAATGAACTTACTATAAAACATGCAACCAAATTCTGGACAATGGTATGTTATTCTATGGTAGAACAATTAATTAAACAACTGTCTTTAGGAACTAGAAAGTACTCCTAAGAAGCCAACTGCTGAATATCATCTTAAGAAACAGCTAAATGACAGATACAGAAGAAAAACAGATGAACACATGAGTAAGGATGCAAGTATTTGTGTGTGTCAGAAGTTATACTGTTCTGAGAAAATTATTAAGTTTTTTATATATTCTAAGCTTCTGCAAGAAGAAACTCTTGTAGCATTTTAGCTGCCAGAATGTTACAACTGATTATGTAGTTATCCATCACTGTTCACTATGGTTTGTGCAAAGCTAATATTGTTGAGGTCACTGTCTTAGATGCCAGTGCACACACAGTCCCCACATATAATGCAACACCTCTTACTGTAAAGAGCAGCACAAAGTCCAGCTCATTGTGTCAGGCATCACTGGAACACCTGAAGGCTTGCTGCTTTTTTCCTGATAAAAAAGGTATGAAACATGACATCCATTTGCAGAGTTTGCATTAACTGAGAGCAAGCCCAACCAACACAATATGTGCCCTTGTAAAATTTTAATTAATGTAAAAGTTTTGGGTCCTGTAATATTACATTTTAATCTCAAAGGCATTTAATGTCATTATGTACAAACATTGTAACTTTAAAGTTCATTGGAATTTTTCAAATCTGAAGTTTACAATATTTTTTAGAACTCAAAATAAAAGATTAATAAGGAATATTACCTTAGAAAGAGGTTTCTCTGTCCCTAACATACGTATTTGCCCAATATTTGTTTTTGTCTTTTCTATATTGCTTCAAAAGCAAGTATTATTGGGGAGGGGTGTTTTCGATGAAGTAGTCCCCTAGACCCACAATAAGGTTTTTAATCAGACTAGCCAAAAACTTCTTATATGTTTCATGCATAGATGGATTCCTACATTAGTATTTGGGTTCCAAGAGTTAGGAAATTGCATTCGGTTTATAGCAGTTTTACAGTCTACCACTCAATTTGTGTCCTTTGGTAGAATAAACCTGAAATGAAGTGTTAATGCAATGGGACAATTTCTCAGCAAAATTAAAAAACATTCCAAATAAATGAGCAACAGTAATAAATGTTTTAACATAATACTTAAAATTAGTGACTGTAGCTACATGCAGACCTTAAGAATATTTTCTCTACTGAATATGTGATTCTCAGAATGCACTGTATTTCACTAAAAATGTAATGTGCAGTTTTTATAAGACAGTTTAAATTTTTTGTAAATATGAACTGTTTGTAGTGTTTGGTACATATGATTGTAGGTAACTCAAAAATATAAAACCTATTACTGCTGAAAGGCAAACCCTAAGGAATTCTTTTAAGAATAATGGTTAAATCAATTAATGCCATGTAGATCAATAAATAAGCTGCTTGACCTCAGAACACTACAAATAAGTTTTTAACATCTGAAGTCTATGTAAATTCAAACAGCTGTGTCCTGTCTCATGAATGTTGTAAAAACTCACATAGCCATTACCTCAAGTAGTTCTGAATCACTAGTTTGCTTTTTTGCTCCATCCCTTAGATATTACAGGCTTACCTCACAAACTAATACGTATAATGGTTTCAGTTGTTTAGCACATAAAGCATCTATTAAGAATGACTCAAAAGTAGTAATGAACGTAAGACACAACTGTAAGGAAAAGCAAAAATGTCTTAGTTAGGAATTACGTTTGAACCTATGTACAAATATAATGCCACTGCTTGTGCCCTGAGTGCATCTGAAAGCCTATGGCAGCTTCTGAGCAAAAGCAGGGGGCGGGGGAACTCAAACAGAAAAACAAATTTGGAAAGCCCAGGCTATAAAATTATGTCTGTCAAAATCAAACCAAGAAGCTTTGGGATTATTCACAATCTCTTTCTAAACCTGGCCCTCCTCTCCTGCCTCAGTCACTCGCTGGGTGGCTTGACTTCACTGCTGGTTTCCTCTACCCCATGAACTGCTCTACCATGCATCATAGGGTAAGGAAAGGCAGCAGTGCCACAGCCATAACCAAGATCGGCAAGACGGGATAGAGCTTTAATGCTACCTGGAGGTCTCCCTGGGCTGACTTTGTATCCCGCAGCTTTAGTTGTACCCAAAGGTCTGCCTGGACTTGTCTTAAATCCAGCCGCTTTGGTAGTTCCCAGGGGTCTGCCTGTGCTGGTCCGGTATCCTGCTGATTTGGTGGTTCCCGAGGGCCGGCCACGCTTACCAGATCGGTTGAGATTTTTCTTTTTCTTTAGTTCATCTTTTATCTCTATGCTTCTGCCACTTGTAGTCTGCAAGTGTGTTTCATTCAGTGGGTCTTGCCTCTGACAAACCATTGGTTTGTGGCTGACTGTGTGGCTGTATTTACTCTGCTGGGAGGAATATATATCAAACTGATCAGCGGCTCTCATGGCATCTTCACTGAGGCAGGAAGGCTTGCCAGGGCCACAGAATGCTGGATTACTGCTGGCAACAGGATGCATCATTTTCTGTGAGAAAGAAAACACAAATATGCATAAACACACATACACAAATATGTGTCTATCTGTATGACAGCACTTAGTGGGAAAACTATCTTCCAACAACTATGCAGATTTCCTAAGATTAGGCTGATAGGGTGCCAAACCGCTTGTAAACACTTATCAACTGACTCAAGGATCCTTGTTTTTCTCAATTTAATCACGAGTAACAACAAATATCAAGATAATTCAATTATAATACTAATTTATTGGCTATAATATTCTACTACAAGTAGAAAACAAATGTTATGTTGTGTAGGCTTTTCAATTTGAGATTTCTGGGGATTTTTAGACAGGGTCTTGCTCTATAGTTCATGCTGGCCTTGAATTCACTATGTAGCCCAGGCTGTTTTCTGGGCTAACAGCAGTGCTCCTGCCTCAGCCCCCCAAGTGCTGGAATTATAGACATGCACTACTCTGCCTAGCATCTTCAATTTGAGATTATGAAACTCTCAAAGGGTAATAGTAAAGATAAAAACTTTTTAACATTTTTTTCAGTTTGCCATTACAACTTCCTTAGAATGCTCTCTTTAGCCTTTCATTATATTTCTCTTATGTATACTTCTAATCTGACCACAGTTTCCACAAGACAGATGCTCCATCATTATTATAATTTATTATTTAAACAGAACTGAGTTTATGTTTCACTTTATAAAAGATAGTGTGCCAAACAAAGAACCCAACCTCTTGGCCCTCAGTACTGACTCCCTTCAAATTTCCTGTATCTAAACATAAAACTGTACCACTACTAAAGGCAAATAAGGTTACCATTAGCTAAAATGAGAGAACTATATATAAACAGTTAAGACTGATACTATAAAAATATGAGTAGCAACAATAATGAAACACTTCCTATTTCAAAGATGACACACTGAAGATACAACATGGCTTTCTCTCTTGATCACAAATATGGTGTGGCTCTTCTTTGGTTACAGGAGCCTAAATGAACAGTCCAAAGTCTGCTTTGTCAAAAAAAAACAAAAAAAAAATAGGGGCTGAGGGTTAGGCAAGCACAAGGTCATGAGTTCAAGTCCCGTACAGGAAGAAAAACAAATCAAAAAAAAAAACAAAGTCTGCTTTGTTTGTGAAGACATGCTTGTTGATTTTTTTCTCTATAGAAGGAAACTATTAAGGGGCTGGAGATACAGCTCAAGTGATACAGCGATTGCTTGCCTAGCATAGAAGAAAGAAGCCCTGGGTTTGATTTTCAATACAGCAAAAAAACAAAGAACGAATACATTCAAACCACCCCACAGCAAGCCAGCCCTAAATGATCAGATCATTTAGACATACAACAAATGTGTTTTACAGAAACTACATTATATTGCAACAAGGTAACAAAGATAAAGATATGGTTCCAATTCAGATTTAGAAGAGTCACAAAATATAAGTTAAGGTCCAGTCCCAAGTCATTAGATGTTTGCTGGTACTGTTCATACATATACAACTGCATCAAGACCTGAATTATAAAAATAGTTACTCCCAAAGATCACAAACAGGGCCAGGGATATAGCTCAGCGGCACAGCGCCTGCCTGGCAAAAACACAAGCTCCTGAGTTCGATTCCTGGTACCAAAAACAAAACAAAACCAAACCAAAACCAATGTAAATTTATTTCAATTTATAAAAACGAAAGGAAAAGGAGAATGAAGTCACAAAATCAAATTCTGTTTAACTGCTTTTATCAACTGAGAATGAACAGATACAGAGCTCTTGGCTAGCTGATTCAAATTCTTAACTATGGGAAAGAAAAATATCTATAGTGAGAAGCTACTTGTTTATGGCATGAGCCTTACAGACCTGAGGATATAAAATAAGACAGGGCTGAAATAAGTATTAAATGGAATAATTATCTCTCACTTTATAAAGATACTAGGACAACTGTCCTTGTTTTTTGGCGGTACCAGAGATTGAAGGCAAGGCCTTTGCACTAAATTACCTCCCCATATCCCCAGTCCTTTTTTATTTTGAGACAAGTTACTCAGGCTGGATTCAACCTTGTAGTCCTCTTGCCTTGTCTCCTAAGTAGTTTGGACTATAGGGATGTGTAACTTGGCACTTTGCACATTATTTGATGTAATCTTCAGTACCTGCTTATGAGAACCTAATATTATTAGCTCTATTTTATAGATATAGGCAGATTTTATGCAACCTGCCAGGAACACATTAGAAAACAGTAAAGCCAAATAGCAGCATCCCTGGCCTCTACCCACTAGATGCAACAATGCCTCTTCTCTCCCTCTCTAAATGTTTAACCACCAAGTGTTTCTCCAGATACTGCCAAATATACCTGGGGGACAAAATCACACCCTGCCACTCTACCATACTAAAATGAGAGCATTAAGACTCAATTTATTTAAAAAAAAGACTTAATTTATTTATTTCTCTTTTTTGAGACAGGGTTCCACTATGCAGTTCAGGCTGGCCTTGAGCTCATTTTGTAGCCGCAGCTGGCCTCAAACTCTCAAGGATCCTCCTGCCTCAGCCTCCTGAGTGCAGGGATTACAGCTGTGTGTCACCATGCCTGGTTTAAAACTCAACTTAACAATATCCCTGTTTAGAGCTGGGTGTGGTGCAGTACACCTGTAACCCCAGCACTCCAAGGAAGAACACCCTGGGTTTAAAGACAATGCAGGCTACATAAACCAGTTTGCCAGCCTGCACTACACAGCAACGCCCTGTCTCAAAAAAACGAACACAAAACAAAAAATTCCTCTTTAGGTGCCTCATTTCTCAGTACCTGTACTCCGCTCTTGAGTGCAGGTACTCTAATAAATCCTTTTCACATCTCTTTTTTGTATTACCCTTGCCTCTACAAATACCCACAAAGCTTTCCTATGGTAACATATAAAGTCAAATAGGAAAAGCTAATTTTGAGACTTGTGATTAGACCAATCACATCCTTCTCTCCTTCAAGTTATATACTAATTGAGAAATAAATGAATTAAATAGGAATCAAAATAACAGTTTACTGCCAAAAAAGCTGGAGCAGAGACCATACACAAAATAGGTGAAATATACAAACTGTGAAGAAGGCCATAACAGAAAAAGTAGACCATTTTCAATATTATTCAGTTGTGTTTTAGAGACAGGATCTCACTATGTAGTTCAGGTTGGCCTTGAACTCACAGCAATCTTCCTGCCTCAGCTTCCCAAGTGCTCAGATTATAGGCATGAGCCGCCAGGGCCAGCTTAGTACTATTCAGAAATCACCCAGTTGGAACAGTGTTACAAAAAAGGGTAGGAAATACAAGTCCTTTCTCCCACTGCCAGTTAAGGAAAAATGTATTTCTCTCTACAATCTGTTTCAATGTTTTATAGTTTATACTTCATTCAATCCCTATCACTACACTTACCAAAATCTTCCTCTGAACCTTACTTCCTTTACTTCACTTTCTTAGTATAACAGAACATTCATGATCTGTCAGCACTTCAGATACACAGACAGCTTATGTAAGGCTTTTAGAGGCAAAATGTTGCCACATATCCTTTACTCAGACACCAACCCACGCTGAAAAAGAACACACCATTAAAAAATTAGACCTGTGATTTTAAAAAAAAGCATCCCATCTCCAACCCCTTTAATCTCCAGGTATTTGTGCCTTTGATTTATGTTAGATGTGTGTGTGTTTGAAATTTGAAACAGGATCTCATCTTGTAGCCTAACCCTCAAACTTATTAGGTAGCTCAGGCTGGCCTCAAGACACTATCCTCCTGTCTCAGCCTCCCCAGTGCTCAAATTACAGGTGTGTACCACCCCACCCAGCTATGTTTATTTCTGACATAGTTCACATTTATTGGACCAACTCCATGTAAAACACTCTTCTAAACTGGGTGTGCTGGCACATGCCTCTAATCCCAGCACTTTGGAGCTGAGGCAGGTGGAACATGATGAGTTTGAGACCAGCCTGTGCAACAAAGTGAGTTCAAGAGCCGCCTGGACTACATAGTGAGACTGTCTCAAAAAAACAAAACAAAAAAACACTTTTAAGCAGTAGGACACAAATGGAGTAAACCTATTTATTCCAATGGAAAGACAATAAAACACTGACACAAAAAACATTACTAAAGAGTGGATTTTTATCTGTTCTTGAATCTGCTTCCCTGCTACTGCCAAGAAATTAACTAGGGCAATAAGTCGTGTAAATAGCTAATAAAAAGGGCCTAGATCAGTGTCCAGTGCTTGTCTCGGATGCCTGAGGCTCTGGGTTCCATCTCCAGCACTGTGCAAAACAACAACAAAAAGTTAACAAAAGGAAACAGCTAAAATCAATCCTTTCCTACTTTCAGACTTACAAAAGACAGGAATCAGGACCAATAGTTCACTGACAGTACACAGGCAACATTTTTAAGAAAGAATGAAGCTGGGCATGGGGTCGCACACCTGTAATCCCAACACTAGCGAGGTAGAGGCAGGAGGATGGCTGTTGAGTTCGAGACCCATCTGGGCTACACAGTCAGTTCAAGGCCAGCCTGAACTGCATACCAAGACCCTGAAGAAAAGAAAGAAGGCAGGAAGGCAGGAAGGAAGGAAGGAAGGGAGGGAGGGAGGAAGGATAGATGGGAGGGAGGGAGGGAGGAAGGGAATGAGGTGGGCATGGTGGCACATGCCCATGACCCCAGCATTTGCGAGACGTAGGAAAACTGCTTCAAGTTTGAGGCCAACCCGGGCTACAAAAGAAGTTCAAGCCCAGCTCTGAACTACACTGAGATCCTGTCTCAAAAAAAAAAAAAAAAAAAGTTACAAAACAGACTGTGTTGATCACCAAAGGTCAAAGATTATTATCACTGAAAATAAGCGAGTCAACCAAGAGCTTTCATATATTTGGACTCTGACTACATGTGAATTTTAAAATGCTAACTTGTTGTCTCTGCAATTGTTTTACAAATCAATTATTTTCCCTTATCTTGACTGTGGCAGTCCTTACTTTCCACAGAAAAAACTATTTTTAGTAACTTAACTGACCTTCACGAAGCTTTCTAAACAGAGAAAAGCCTTCTTTTCAAGAAACCCAAGTTCTGCTCTTCTTTGAAGATCAAACATCACATAATTCTCAGAGATTTACTACAGGTCATTTAACTTACAAGGATACAGAACCATACAGGATTTTATGGTTCTAAAGAAAGTGCTCTCAAGTTTAATGACTCTGAAGAACCGTCTAGCAAGGCAGCTGCTATACTCTCTGCCCCACCGCGGAAAGTTTCATACCAGGACAGAACATAAATAACAGCCTCCTTTGTCTTCTTTCTACTCCCTAATTGTGCCCCACGGCGCAGTTTCCCTGGTTCCAGAATCCTTAAGACACCAGGCGTTCAAAAATGTATTACCTGTTGTGGGTCCGAAAGCGACTATCAACGTAGATCTTAGCAATGACAACTTTGCTACAGATCCTGAACCACTCTACAGAAAGGGCTGAACCCTCCCAACATCAAAATTCGTGTCCGCAAGCGTCGGAGTCCGCAGGCCACTCCGTCGGGAAGCCAGTCTGCGAGCCGCAGGCTCTTATTTAAAGGGCAGAGTGACCACAGATTTTTGACCTCTCAAAAAAAATTAAGGAGCCGGGCGTGGTGGCGCACGCCTGTAATCCCAGCACTCGGGAGGCTGAGGCAGGAGGATCGTCGCGAGTTCGAGACCAGCCTGGGCTACAAAGTGAGCTCAATGCCACCCTGAACTGCGTAGCGAGACCCTATCTCAAAAAGACAAAAAA